CACCCTTGACTCAGGAGCTTCCCGCTCCTTCTTTCGTGACTGCACCACACTCACGCCGCTTAGTCGGCTAGTTGCAGTCTCCCTGGCCGACCCCTCTAGGGGTCTAGTCCTTGCCCACTACTCCACGGTCCTGCCGTGTCCGGCCGCCCCGTCTGGCTTGCTCTCAGGTCTCTACCTCCCCTCGTTCTCTACGAACCTGGTGAGTGGAGCTGACCTCCACGATGGGGGGGTTAACCAGTTCACTCCTGCGACTCAGCGAGTGACTCACTGTACGTATGCTCGGACGGGCCGATTCCTGGCCACATTTACCCGTGAGCCTAGCTCGAGCCTGTACACCCTGACCACTGAGTCCCCTCACGTAGTTGCGTCTGCGTCGGGTCAGTTGTCGGCCCCCTGCTAGTGTCGCGCCTTGTCGCATCAGACCCTCCTTTGGCACCACCGCCTTGGTCACCCCTCGGTGCAGCGCCTTCGCAGCATGCACCGCCGTGTCCTTGTCTCTGGTCTTCCTAGGGTTCTCCCTCCCCTCCCACCCTCGCCTGCTCCTCCCTGTCTTCCCTGTGTCGAGGGGCGGCAACGCGCCGCTCCTCACTCCTCCTCGTTCCCTCCCACAGAGGCTCCCCTGGAGACTCTCCGCCTGGACGTGTGGGGCCCCGCCCGCGTCCGTGGACAAGGCCACGAGCGGTACTTCCTGCTGGTCGTCGACGACTACACGCGTTACACCATGGTCTTCCCTTTGCGCACCAAGGGTGAGGTCCCTAATGTTTCGATCCCTTGTATCCGCGCTGCTCGTCTCCAGCTCCGCGAGTGGTTTAGGACGGAGTTTCCCATTCTTCGTCTGCACTCTGACAGAGGTGGTGAGTTTTCCTCCGACTTCTTGGCAGCCTTCTGTGAGGAGCACGGCATCACCCAGTCGTTCACACTTCCGGCCTCTCCGCAGCAGAATGGGGTTGCTGAGCGCTGCATTGGCTTGGTCATGGAGGTCGCTCGTACCTCCATGGTCCATGCGGCTGCCCCCCATTTTCTATGGTCGTTCGCGGTCCGGTACGCCGCTCATCAGCTCAACCTCTGGCCCCGTGTCTCCTTGCCAGAGACCTCGCCCAAACTGCTGTGAACGGGGAAGGTTGGCGATGCGTTGCGTTTCCGGGTCTGGGGTTCTCGTGCCTTTGTCCGCGATACCACCGCGGACAAGCTCTCCGCCCGCGCTGTTTCCTGTGTCTTCCTTGGCTTTGTCCCTGACGCGCCTGGTTGGCAGTTTTACCACCCCACCTCGCGCCGTGTCTTCCCCTCTCAGGACGTCACGTTTGACGAGTCGGTTCCCTTTTACCGTCTCTTCCCCTACCGCACTGCCCCTCTCCCCCCCCCGCCGCTCTTCCTCGCTCCACGTGCTACCCAGGTAGACCCCCTCCCCGCTCCCGGTCCTGCTCCTTCAGGTATGTCTCAGGTAGACCCTCCTCCCTTGCCTACACCTGTTGAGGTCACTGGTGACTCAGGTCCTTCTTGGGGTGCTGCTTCTGGGGGTGCTGGGCCTCGGGGTACTGAGCCTGGGGGTGCTGAGCCTGGGGGTGCGGAGCCTGGGGGTGCGGAGCCTGGGGGTGCAGAGCCTGGAGGTGCTGAGCCCGAGTGTGAGGAGTCTGGGGGTGCTGAGCCTGGGGGTACTGGGTCTGGGGGTGCTGCGCCTAGGGGCACTGAGGAGTCTAGTGAGCAGTCTCCCTGGAATGGCCGTCTCCGCAGTCGCTCCGCTGGTGCCCCGCCGCTCCACTCTAGTCGTCGATCCCCTCTCTCCCCACAGCAGCTGCGTGAGTGGTACGCTGGCCGTCAGGGTCGCGCTTCTGGAGCTAGGAGCCCTACTGGGGGAGGCGTTGGCGCTGGTGACTCTACTCCTGGAGTCGTTCCTACAGGAGGTTCTGGAGCTGCTGAGGGTGCTGGTGCAGGAGGTTCTGGAGCTGCTGAGGGTGCTGCTGCTGGAGGTTCTGGAGCTGCTTCGGGTGTAGGCGCTGAGGGTTCTGAGTCTGCTGTTGTGCGGTCTCCTTGGAGTAGCCGCCTTCGTCCGCGTGTGCCTCTCACCTCACAGCAGCTACACGACTGGTACGGTCGCCGTCAGGGTCGCGCTTCTGGAGCTCGGGGCTTTGCCGCTGGAGGTACTTCTGCTGCTGTCACTGAAGCTGGGAGTGGTGCTGGTCCCGGAGGTGCTCGTACTGGAGATACTAGAGCTGCTGGGGCTGGAGGTGCTGCTGAGCCGGAGGCTACTACTGCTGGCGACCCTGGAGCTGGGGGTGCTGCTGCTGGAGACACTGAGGCTGGAGACCCTGGGACTAGAGGTGCCGATTGTGGGGATGCTGCTGCTGGTGGAGCTGGTCCTGGAGGAGCTGGAGCTGAGGGTTCTGGAGATGCTGGAGGTACTAGAGCTACTGGTGCTGGTGACACTGCCCAGCCGCGCCAGTTCTTTGGTCCGTTGTCTCAGCCACCGCCTGACTCTGTGCTTCGCCAGGTTCTTAGTCTCCCTTCGTCTACTGGTCTTCCGTTATAGCCTGGTTCACCGCTGCCTGCTCCTTCTCCTTACACTGAGCAGTCAGGGGGTCTTACTGAGCGTCGTGAGCCTACGTCGCGTCCTGTTTTGCCTGTCCGGTTTGGTCGTTCCGGTCGTAGTGTCCCTCGTTCGCATCAGCCGGCTATCCCCGCCACCCGCCTTGTCGACCGTCGTCCTTCCTCTCCTTCGCAGCATGTTCCCCTGCCTTCCCCTCCTGCGTCTTCTCTGCCTACCATCCCTGAGCCTGAGTCTGACCGCACCCGTGGTGCTCACTCTACTGTCATGCGTCTGCTAGCCACTGTTGTCACTGACCCGTCGTTTGATTCTGCTACTGCGTCTGCCTTGGTCGCTTAGCTGGTTGACTTTGTTGCTGCCCGTCGTCTAGACTACGCCGCTAGTCTTGTTGCTGAGTCTGAGTCTGTCTGTCCTCCATCCGTCGGGGGTGAGTGTGCTCTTGGCACGGACGTCCTTGAGGACAGGTAGGAGGACCTTGAGTGTCTTGCAGCCGCTGTGCCTCATCTCGTGTCCATGCTGCTTGCCCCTGAGGGAGACCCGGATGCTCCAGACATCCCGACCCCGCGCTCTTACGCTGAGGCGATCGCGAGTGAGTACTCCTCTCACTGGCAGACAGCCATGGATGCAGAGATGGCATCCTGGAAGTCCATAGGCACCTACGTCGACGAGGTTCCCCCTCCCGGGGCGAACATCGTCAGTGGCATGTGGATTTTGAGGGTGAAGCGACCGCCAGGTTCCCCGCCTGTCTTCAAGGCTCGTTACGTTGCTCGAGGCTTCAGTCGGCGAGAGGGAGATGACTTCTTCCAAACCTTCTCCCCCACCCCGAAGATGACCACTCTACGGGTGTTGCTGCACGTTGCTGCTCGGCATGACTACGAGCTTCACTCTCTTGACTTCAGCACAGCTTTCTTGCAGGGCAGCCAACACGAGGAAATCTGGTTGTGCCGCTCACCTGGCTTCACTGGGTCGTTCCCTCCTGGTACCCAATGGAGTCTCCGGCGGCCGGTCTACGGTCTCCGCCAGGTGTTGCGCGAGTGGCACGACACACTGAGGTCGACACTAGCGGCTCTTGGGTTTGCTCCGTCCACTGCTGACCCGTCACTGTTTCTTCGCACCGACACTTCGCTTCCGCCGTTCTACATCCTTGTGTACGTCGACGACTTGGTCTTTGCCAGTGCTGACACTGAGGCTCTCGCCGTGGTGAAGTCGGAGCTGCAGAAGAGACACACGTGCACAGACCTAGGTGAGCTACGCAGTTACTTTGGCTTGCAGATCACCCGGGACAGAGCACGCCGCACCATCACCCTGACTCAGTCACACATGGTGCTGCAGGTCCTTCACCGCTTCGGCTTCACCTGGTCCTTGGCACAGGCCACTCCTTTGGCTACAGGTCACTCGCTCTCAGCTCCACCTTTGGACGAGTCCGTAGAGCTGAGTGGTCCTTACCCAGAGCTAGTTTGCTGCCTCATGTACCTGATGACCTGCACTCGTCCTGACCTCGCGTACCCTCTTGGGCTTCTGACTCGCTACGTGGCTCCTGGTCGGCACCGAAAGGTGCACAAGGATGCTGCGAAGAGGGTACTGCGTTACTTGTGCAGTACATCAGGCATGGGGCTCGTGCTTGGAGGACGGAGTGAGGTTGTCCTCACTGGTCACTCGGACGCTTCTTGGGTTGACGACCAGGCTACTCAGCGGTCGTCACAGGGTTACACCTTCAGCCTTGGCTCTCGTTCATTTTCTTGGCGTTCTACACGCTCGTCTTCTGTTCTCGGCTCCAGTTGTGAGGCTGAGATCTACGCCACAGCCATGGCTGCACATGAGTGATGCTGGCTCACCTACCTGTTGACCGACCTGGGAGAGCGGCCTCGTTCTCCTCCAGTGCTGTATGTCGACAACAAGGCCGCCATTGTCTTGTGTGAGGAGCACAGACTGGAGCACAAAACGAAGCACATCGCTCTGCGTTACTTCCTGGCTCGAGAGTTGCAGCAGCGTGGTCAGCTTCGTCTTGCCTACGTGGCCACTCGGGCCAACACTGCAGATATATTCACCAAGGCACTTCCGTCTAGTGATCATCAGCGCTTTTGTACCTTGCTGGGCCTTCTGCCCACGTTTCCTCACTTCCTGTAGACTCTGCTTGTACTGTGATCTATATATATATACCTGCTTGGTTGTTCTGCTAGGTAGAGATTACTGTACTGCTGTTGTTGCATATATATCTCTGCATGCGAAGTTGCCTTGTGGCCCTTTGCTTGTGCTCAGAGTGTGTGGTGACGTTGGGATCCACCCTGAGCTTGCTTTGCCTCTCTTGATTGGTCTTGTGACCCCTTGCTCTCCCCCAATTTGCCTATGAGGGTGTGTCAGAATATGTATGCTGTATATGTTTAGGCTGTAGTGGGGTTGCCAAGGGGTACAACCTCTTCAAGGATTTGATATTTGTACCCAACTCTTCCATAGTTCATCATTCCTGCCTATACTTCTGACAGTTGGCCATGCGGGACATGCTGCTGCTTCCACACCGCACTTTGACTGCCACGTCAGCGCCAGCGAGGATGGCAGCGATGACAGCGGTGCGCAGCATGGCCTCGGAGGCGGACATGCGGACGCCGTGCATGAGGAAGAGCAGCATGCCCGCCTCCAGCGCCCCCACCACCCGCCCCGCCGCCAGCCACGCCCCGCTCAGCCACGTGCTGCTGGTGGCCAGCACAGTAGCCTCAACTGGTGAGAACAGCAGCAGGTGGGCGGGGAGAGGCAGCGAGAGGGAACGTATGAGGGTGAGCACGGAGAACGTGGGGGTACATGGTGTTTGTGAGGAGGATGCAGGTGGGGTGATTTTTATGTGAAAAGGCAAGCGAGCACGCAGCCAATCCGGCAGCTCAGCTCATCGGGTGCCGTTCTTGGTGCAGGTGAGTGGCAGCTTGCCACACAGGTCCTTGGTTCATTGAACCTCCTGGTTCACACACTGTCTCCGCCATGACTGTGTCACTCCGTCATGACTGTGTCACTCCGCCATGACTGTGTCACTCCGCCATGACTGTGTCAACCTGCAGCAGTCTCAGTTTCCCCAGGTTTCAAAACTGACAAGATACAGTCAGATCGCATTGCTCCTGCTTCCATTGCGTTGCAGCTACAACCTCGTATCTAGTCCCTCCTCCACGTGTATCTAGTCCCTCATCCATGTTGTATCGGACCACCACTTCACCACAACAACTCCGCTTCAGGTCTGTTGATAATACTCACTACACTTGTTGTCATGACTCACTACACTTGTGTACCCGTGCACAGTTATGTTACAGAAGCACCTCAAACAAAACCACGGCTCCGTTTCGTGCTCATGTGGTGTGCCTGGTACCTGGCGTGTACGAGCTATAGATCACCCCGAACTGGCAGATGCAAGTGAGGCACGTGGGGCAAGGCACATGGGGCGAGGCACGTGGGGCGAAGAGGAGAGAAAGGAAATGAGGAGGTCAGTCCCAGCTTGGCTTTGCAGATTTGAACTCCCTTCCATTTCATTCTCTTCCAACGATCCTAGGCAGCCATTTCGTTTACACTGAATGACACGCGCATTACTCACAGCCCTGTTCCGTATGTTGTGTGACACAAACCCAGCAACCAATGACCGCGCTGCAATGACACTCACCTCTTCTGCTCGTAGAGCTCCTTTGTTTCCTGGTGGAGGGCGGAGGGTGGAGGGTGGAGGGTGGAGGAGAGAAGAAGAGGAATCAGAGTGTGAGACAGACAAAGGGCAGACGGTACGGCAGGTGAAGATGAGAGGTAGGATTAGATGTAGGATGAGAGGTGAAAGCTGGTCTGCCCAATTGATGCTAGCCCACTCATGCTTCCTCTTTGGTATAACAAGCTTCCACAACCTTTAAGTTCGGCTTTTGTAATAGTTAAATAAGCCAGGTATTATTATTCACTTCAGAATCTTAAAAAAGCTAACACCACATGACAAATGTAATGCCCGCAACACCCGCCAAGGGAAGGCCACATGAATCTCACAGGATACCTATCGCTCATTCCTGCTGCATCTCACCACCACGTGCTGCATCTCCCCCGGCAGCGCCTCTGCCGGCTCCGCCAGTGTCTGTTGCAAGTGCAGGCTCTGAGGGCATGTGGGCATGTGCCATGGGGGAGACGAGAGGGCGGCGGGGGGTTGGCAGACACAAGGAAAAGGGGTGAGCAGTGAGATGGGAGTGTGGAGAAGGGAAGTGGAAAAATTGAAAGGCGAAGCAGATTCCCTCACATGGAAATAGAGCAGCTCACATGGAAGTAGAGCAGCTCACATGGAAGTAGAGCAGCTCACATGGAAGTAGAGCAGCTCACATGGAAGTAGAGCAGCTCACATGGAAGTAGAGCAACTCAGCTAAGCGGCCATCGATAGCGGCGGCGGCCAGGAGGGTGTCCCCGGCGCCGCCCTCCTCCACTCCGCCAAAGGCGTCCGCCACCACCGCCGCCAGCTGGTGCAGCGCCTCCGCACACTCTGATGCGCGCAGGGGGGAAAGAGAGGAGCGGGATGAGAGGTAGGGTGGCGGGGCGTGCAAAGTGGATGGCGAAGGAGCGAGTGGCGGTGGCACGCATGCGGTAGTGAGGGGAGAGGGGGGGGGGGGGGGATGCAGCGAGGGATGTGAGCATGCGGTGGGGCTGGGCTTGCACGGACAGAGAGAAGCGAGAGCGGGTGGGGGTGCAAGGAAGGATTGTGTACTAGTTCAACTGCACATGCTTCAACGTCCACCCAAGAGCGCACCTGCTGCTCTCTCCTGTGCGTCCGCCACGGCTGCCAGCAGGCGCTCGTATTTGTCCCTCATCTCCCCCACCTCCTACCATCCATGGCGCATGGGGCATGGGGCACAGAGCATGGGGCACAGAGCATGGGGCATGGGACGTGGGGCATTGGGCACGGGGCATGACACGGGGCACGGGGTATCGGGCATGGGGTATGGAGCAGTGGGGATGGGGAGTGGTGCATGGTTGCGTGGTGCATGCTTGGGTGAATGCCCCACGCACCTGCAAGCCCTCTTGAAACTCGTCCTCTATCGAGTCTGTCTGCGTCACCGCCATGCCCCTTATCCCCTCCGCCGCGCTGCTGCTTCTCATTCTGCCCGTTCTGCCCGCCTACTGCGCGCCTGCCGGCGTCCCCGAGGCCCTCTCCGCTGTGCGCGCATCGGCCGCTTGTCAAACATTATATATGTTATGCTTGTGTAGGCTACAGTGGGTTAGCCTATAGGGGGTACACAATTCTAGGGTTTCCTACTTGTACTCATTTCACTGCTAGTTCATTCATTCCTGTTCGCTTATTCTCACATGGTATAGAGCGGGTCCTTCTAAGGACCGTTTTTTTTGGCCCACCGAAGCGCGCCCCGAGGCGCGATTTTTTTAGCGACCCCTCGGGTCGCCTGTTCCCCTGCAGCTCAGCCGCCTCCACTGACGCGGCCCCGCCGCCCTCCCTTACGCGGCCCCGTCGCCGGCTCTCACGCGACCCCGCCGCCGACTCTGTCGCGGCCCCGCCCCGGCCTTTACGCGGCCCCGCTGCCTGCTCTCACGCGGCCCCGCCCCGGCTCCTACGCGGCCCCGCCCCGGCCTTCACGCGGCCCCGCCGACGGCTCTGTCGCGGCCCCGCCCAGGCTCTTACGCGGCCCCGCCGCCTACTCTCGCGCAGCCCCGCCCCGGCTTTCACGCGGCCCCGCCGACGGCTCTTACGCGGCCCCTGCCCCGGCTCTTACGCGGCCCTGCCGCCGGCTCTCTTGCGGCCCCGCCCCGGCTCTCACGTGGCCCCGCCGTCGGCCCTCTCCAGGCCCCGCCGCCGGCTCTCTTACGGCCCCGTCGCCGGCCCTGACGCGGCCCCTGCCCCGGCTCTCAAGCGGCCCCGCCGCCGGCTCTTTTGCGGCCCCGCCGCCGGCTCTGAAGCGGCCCCGCCCCGGCTCTCACGCGGCCCCGCCGCCGGCCCTCACGCGGCCCCTACCCGGCTCTCTTGCGGCCCCGCCGCCGGCTCTGAAGCGGCCCCGCCCCGGCTCTCACGCGGCCCCGCCGCCGGCCCTCACGCGTCCCCGCCCCGGCTCTCTCTCACGCGGCCCCGCCGCCACACCTGCAGCAGTCGGGCAGCAGTGCAGCCGAACCGCCCGGGAGCCGAGCCGCCCAACGCCCGAGCCGCCCAGTCGCCGAGCCGCCCGGGACCCGAGCCGCCCTGCACCTGAGCCGCCCTGCCGCCGAGCCGCCCGGGAGCCGAGCCGCCCTGCACCCGAGCCGCCCTGCCGCCGAGCCGCCCGGGAGCCGAGCCGCCCTGCGCCCGAGCCGCCCAGCCGCCGAGCCGCCCGGGAGCCGAGCCGCTGTGCACCCGAGCCGCCCGGTCGCCGAGCCGCCTTTCTGCAGAGCTGCACGACCTGCCCTGCCTGGTGAGCACAGTCCCACTGTCACTCCGAGCTCTTTCCCTACTGCTTGCACTGCGTCGCTGTCGTCGCCATGGCTACCCCTAGTGTCCTAGCTTTTGACGCTGAGGGTTGCGCCATTGATTTTTAGGTTTGGTTAGACGACCTGCAGCTGTTCTTACAGTGCGACAGGGCTGACGGCCTTTCTCTCTTTGACCTCACCTCTGGCGCCTCTCCTGCTCCTGCTGCTGATGCTGATCCCACTGTCCGCTCTCAGTGGGCCACCCGCGATGCTGCTGCACGTCTTGCTGTGCGTCGTCACCTCCCTACCTTTGAGCGTGCGCACTTTAGTCAGTACAAGAGTGCTCAGACCTTGTACGACGCTGTAGTTGCGCGCTACTCCTCCCCTGCCACTGCTGACTGAGCCGTCTCATGCTTCCCTACCTCTTTCCTGACCTCTCTGCCTTTCCCACTGTCGCTGACCTCATTACGCACCTCCGCACTAGTGACACTCGCTACCGCGCCGCCCTTCCTGCTGAGTTCTGCGCTAAGAACCCACCCCCCATGTACATCGCTCTCTACTACGTAGTCGCGCGCCTCCCTGACTCCCTTCGCGTCGTCAGGGACCACTTTCTCGCAGTCTGTCCCACCACCCTCACCGTCGACCTCCTCGAGAGGGCCCTCCTCGCAGCGGAGAAGAGCATAGTCGCTGTAGGTGCTTCTCGTGGTGACCCTCGCACCCCCATCTTTGAGGGGTGCTCTCCTTCCCCCTTGCTGCCCTTTGTTGCCTCTGCTGCTGCTGCCGACCTGCTTGGTCTTGAGTCGGTCGGCGCGGCGTCTTCCCCTAGTGGGAGACGTCGCTCCAGCAAGGGCAAGGGGGGCAAGGGCGCGGGTGGAGCTGGAGGGGGCGGTGGCGGTGGCGGCGGTGGCGGCGGAGGGAGTGGGGGTGGCGGCGGGACTAGTGGCGGGGGTGGTGGTGGTGGTGGCAGCAGCGGCGGAGACGGTGGTGGTGGTGCCAGCGGTGGTGGTGGAGGCAGCGGCGGAGGTGGAGGCGGCGGAGGTGGAGGCGGTGGAGGCGGCAGCGGAGGAGGCGGTGGTGGTGGAGGAGGTGGAGCTGGTCGGGGTGGTACCCAGCAGCGTAGCGGCGGTGGTGGTGGCCAGCGCTCGCAGCGGCAGCAGCAGCAGCGCTCGCGGGACATCCCTCCGCCTCAGCAGCTTCGTGAGTGGTACGCTGGGCGTCAGAGGGGTGGGGGTACTGGTCCCTGCACCTACGTTCTTCGTTCCAGCGACCGCGCGGGTGAGCAGTGTGGGGGTGCCCACGCCACCCAGCGCTGCTTTGGCCGCCTGACGGACGCTTGGCGTCAGCAGTTCCCTGGGGCTAGTGAGATCCCTCGCTGGGATGAGCTTCTTAGGGCTGGTGTAGCGATCTTTGATCTTGATTTTGATGCTATCCTTGCTGCTATGTATGCTGTGACTTATAGTGAGGAGAATGAGGGTTACCGGTGTTTCCAGCCCGACCCGGGCATTGGTACTGCTGCGCTAGGTGCTTGTGAGGCTGCTGCTCTAGGTGCCAGTGCGTCTGCGCTCTCAGGTACTGGTGAGACTGCGCTCTCAGGTACTGCGTCGTCCTCGTCCTCCCTCACTTTCACACTTGACTCCGGGGCTTCTCGCTCCTTCTTTCGAGACCGCACTACCCTTACGCCGCTCGGCCGGCCGGTTGCAGTCTCCCTTGCTGACCCCTCTGGGGGTCCTGTCCTGTCTCACTTCTCCACTGTCCTCCCGTGTCCGGCTGCCCCTTCGGGCACCCTGTCTGGTCTGTACCTTCCCTCGTTCTCTACGAACTTGGGGAGTGGCGCGGACCTGCAGGATGTGGGGGTTCACTAGTTCACTCCTGCGAGTCAGCGGGTGACCCACTGCACGGAGGCACGCACAGGCCGACACCTGGCCACGTTCTCGCGTCGGCCGGGGTCGAGTCTCTACACCCTGACCATTGAGTCTCCTCCTGTCCCTGCGTCTGGTCAGGTGGCTGCGTCAGGTCAGGTGCTTGCTGCTGCGTCCCGGTCAGGTCCTGAGTCTGCCCCCTGTTCTTGTCGCCTCCTGTCTCACGAGACTCTCCTGTGGCACCACCGTCTTGGCCACCCCTCCTTGCCCCGTCTTCGGAGCATGGCTTCCCGTGTCCTTGTCTCTGGTCTTCCCCAGTCTCTCCCTCCTCTCCCCTCCGGGCCAGGACCTTCCTGTGTCCCCTGTGTCGAGGGTCGCCTCCGGGCTACTCCTCACTCCTCCCACTTCCCCCCGACAGAGGCTCCCCTGCAGACGCTTCACATGGATGTGTGGGGCCCAGCCCCCGTCCGTGGGCAGGGTCACGAGCGCTACTTCCTGTTGGTGGTTGACGACTACTCGCGTTACACCACAGTCCTCCCCTTGCGCAGCAAGGGTGCGGTCACTGAGGTGCTGATCGACTGGATCCGCGAGGCTCGTCTCCAGCTCAGGAAGAGCTTCGGCTCGGACTTTCCTGTTCTGCGTCTGCACTCGGACAGAGGCGGAGAGTTCTCTTCTCGCCTTCTGCGAGACTACTGTCGTGCACGGGGGATCCGCCAGACCTTCACGCTTCCGGACTCACCACAGCAAAATGGGATTGCTGAGCGCCGCATTGGCATGGTCATGGATGTCGCTCGTACGTCCATGATGCATGCGGCTGCCCCCCATTTTCTGTGGCCGTTTGCGGTGAGGTACGCGGCACATCAGCTCAACCTTCACCCCCGGGTCTCTCGGCCTGCGATGTCCCCTGCCTTGCTGTGGACGGGAAAGGTTGGCGATGCGTCTTTGTTAAGTGTCTGGGGATCTCGGGCGTTTGTCCGCGACTTGTCTGCGGACAAGCTGTCCCCTCGTGCTGCTCCCTGTGTCTTCCTTGGCTTCCCCACTGATGCCCCAGGGTGGGAGTTTTACCACCCCTCCTCTCGTCGTGTTCTGTCCTCCCAGGACGTCACGTTCGACGAGTCAGTCCCCTTCTACCGTCTCTTCCCCTACCGCACTCCTTCCCTCCCCCCTCCCCCGGACTTCCTTGTGCCGGTTCCCCCCCCGGTAGACCCCCTCCCCCCTCAGGTTCCTGCCCCATCAGGTGTGTCCCAGGTAGACGCCGTTGACCCGGTCGAGGTTACTGGTGACTCTGGTGCTGCTGCGGGTGCTGAGCCTGGGGGTGCTGACTCTGGGGGTGCTGTGCGCGGGGGTGCTGAGCCTGGGGGTGCTACTGCTGGGGGTGCTGGGCCTGAGGGTGCTACTGCGGAGGGTGCGGAGCCTGGGGGTGCTGAGCCGGGGGGTGCTGTGCCTGGAGGTGCTGGGTCTGGGGGTGCTGGGTCGGGAGCTGCTGAGCCTGGGGGTGCTGAGCTGGGAGCTGCTGAGCCTGGGGGTGCTGCGTCTGGAGCTGCTGAGCCTGGGGTTTCTCCTGCTGCTGCGTCTCGCTGGGAGCCCCTCTCTCCACAGGAGCTGCGCGAGTGGTTCGCTCGCCGCTGGAGGCGTGCTGCTGAGTCTGGAGGTGCTGCTGGAGCTGGAGCTGGAGCTTCTTCGACCGTCGAGGGTGCGGGTGCTGCCGGTCCCGGAGCTGTTGGACCTGCGGGTCCTCCTGGAGCTGGAGCTGCTGAGGGCGTTGGTGCTGAGCCTACTGCTGTTGGTCCTGCCGCTGGAGGTGTGGGTGGCGCT